TTGTTTCTCTCTCTCTCTCTCTCTCTCTATATATATATATATATATATATATATAAATGAGAATTATGTGAAATGACATGTTTCATTGAGAAATGTGTGTCATGATTTAGTTAAAGAATGTTAGAAATTATTATGGTTATTATGAATCTCTTATGGAATGGTGTATTGCCATATGTATTTCTATATAGTTTTGCATACTGGTAGCCTAATGTTATGATTTGAGTTTGAAATGCTTAGTAACTACCGATGGAAGAATGTGTCCTAAGTATATGTATAATGGTTCAAATGTATCCTTTGTTTATATGTATTAAACTTTATTATTTTTTTGCATGGATTGGAGTCTTTTGTATGGGATTTGTCCTAAGGGTAGCATGATTGTCCTTGTAGGGTGATAATGTGGGTTTCATTGACCTAGAAGTTACCTTACTATAATGTTGAAAGAAAAGAAAGAGGCCTTATGGATAAGTCTCTTCTATTGTTTCCCCTAATGTTGTATGACCTTGGTGTCTGTTGTATTTCATAAAAACCTTATGAGGTTCGATAGTATGATGTAAATTTATATTTAGGGGATAAATTTCAATGAATATAGGGTTTAGAATTCCTTGATGTTCCTATGTTGACTTACTGTAGTTCTTTCTAAAGTGGTATTCACTTTTAAGTGATGAAAATGAAGGTTGTGAAGTTAAGATCGTCTTGTGGTTAGGCTAAGTTGCTCTCAATTGGGTTTACCCTAAGTGTTTGATTGTTATGTTAGTAATAAGGTTGTAGATATTTCTACCTTGCTCTCCTATTCTTACTTGAGATTGAAACTAATGAATTCATAGTAAGGTTGTTCATGACAGGAGTCTTGTCTAAAGTATGAATTGCATGACCTCTATATGTTTTATATGTCTTGATTGAACCTATCTTAAGAGTATTTTTAAGATTTGGAAGAACATAAAAACTAGTTGTACATTTGACTTCATGAGATAATGTAAGAATCATGTTTGGAGTCACTAATATTTTCTAATGTTTAGCTTTATAATGAGAAATTAATATTTTTTAATATGAAAAATAATGAGTTTCTTATAATGAGAAATTAATATTTTTTAAAATGAAAAATAATGAGTTTCTTCAAAATTGTGTGACATGTATTGTTCGTAAAACATGACTGTAGGCTCACTTGTGCAAAGTGAAGTGTCTAGCTATTGTCCTTGTGTGTGTGCCTATTAAGTATAAGACTTTTCGTAAATGATGCGTGTCTATAAAAGCTAGTATTATAGTAGAAATTGAAAGTTTGTGAAATGACATACTGTTTTTCGCATATGTGTGTTGTGAATTACCGTTTTGGCTTCACTAAGAAGGATGTTTGTGCATGCCATGATAAATAGTAGAGAAATTGCCATGTTACAATAAATTTGACCTTTGTGCATTTGCTTGGTTTTGAACTCATGAGACATGTAAGTGTGTTGAGGAGAAGGACATTCTTTCATGGACACAACTAGACATGGTATGTTTGAGTATGAATGTCATGGCATTAGGTCTAAAAAATAAGAATCCATTGTCAATCTATCTTACTAAAGTCTATGTGCATTGAAGTATGAGTGCCTAATTGTTTCTTGAGTGTTGTTGAAACTGCCTAAGTGTGATTAAAAATTGTTTCAATATGAGATCTTAATATAAATGAAATATAAATACCATTTTATGATTATGAGAAAAATGTTCCTCCTATAAACATGATATGAGCCTATGTGTTTGATGCATTAAAGATTAAGTGAATAAAGGTTTTTCTTGATTATGTTGCATTAAGTGCTAAATGGTTTGAAGTTGTGTTCATTGTATGTTTGGTGCATTAACTTCTATATGATCATGTTATGAATGTTTTGAGATGCTTTATGATTCATTGATGTCCTTGATGTAAGTAAAGTGTTCAAAGTGTCATTCGAGTACGGATGTTCCCAATTGTGGGATATTTTAAGATTCCAAAAATGATTCAAGGTTTATAGCGCCTCACATGTTACGTTGATCTGTTTAAAAGGTTAATTATATTTTTTAAGTATGAATGGGTGATTTGAAGTCATTCAGAAGTCAAATGTCAAGGGAAAACCAAGACGTTCAACGACTAGTCATCTAAGGGGACTTATATGTTTTTATGTGCTTATGTGTGTGTCACAATCTTATGAGGTCCTTATATGAGTTATAATGATTTTTATAGTCAGTATTTTTAGTTTATTAAGTTTGGCGTTCAAACAGTTAAGAACGTCGAAGCCGTTCAATAGTTTTCCCTTGAGACATGCATGTTTGTGTCTTGAGTGTGCCTAGCATATCTTGAAGGTGTTGCGTGTAATTGTTTTGGGTAAAACTTATGTGGACGTTCCTTGAATTTTTAATTTTCATTTATATGTTGGAAACTTCAGGGAACGACTCCCCAAGGACCCCGCAAGAAGCACTCAGAAGAACCCAAAATTTGTCAAGATATTGCCTTGGCAATGACAATGAACTGAGTCAAACGACTCCTTGTTAGTTGACTGACGCCATGTCGATGGGGAGGCGTCTATGGAATCTTATCATGGGGAAGGCTTACCCAAAGAACAACCTAATACCTAAACGGCAGAAGCCACAAACGGTCCATGGATGGGCTAACGTGGCTTAGATGGCTGCCCGTGGATGCAGGTTTCTATTACTTCCATGCACACTGCCTAATTATGGGGTGAATGCGAAATTCCCCCCACGTGCTAACCTAATCATAAGCGGTTTTTTTACCTATTTTTTGGTATATTAGGTTTGTTAAAAACGTGAATCGCCCATACCCAATTGTCCATTAAAAATCAAAACCTCCCTCTCCCTAAATATCCTCCCTAGAAACCTCCATTGAAGGACAAATTCAAGGTAAGCTTGTAGATGGAATTTCCATGGGTTATTAACATATTTTTATTGGTTTCTCCAGCTAATAAAGGTACGATTATCCTTCATCTCTAGTTAATACTTCGTCTAGAGAATCCTCTTCAAAGTTTTCAAAGAAGTTTCATGATGAAATCTCTTTTTCATCAATCTAGCCATGGGTTCTTTCTCAAATTGATTTCAAAGACATAATATTAATTTATTGATTATTATCTACTGATTTAGTAGTGATTTTAATACAATGGCATGATGAACCCATGTTTTCTCATAAACTTCATTTTAGCCTATGTATGGCTTTATGATCTTGATCTCATCTATATCAAATTGTGATTCAATCATGTAAATATGATTATACCTACTTCCTAGTATGTGTATTGATGACAAATTTTTGAGAACTGATCAATGATGGTCAGGTTTGAAGATTTTGAACAAGGCTAGTCTATCAAGTAGTAATTTTGATGTTAACGTTAAGATAGTTGCTATGTGACTCGATAATGGTTAATTGTCTTAGATACTTCCTATATGTATAATGTGATTCTAATTAGGTATAATTGATCCAATATTAATAGATAACAAATTGAATTGGTAAAAACTGATTAAGGTTCTTTTAACCTATAGACTTGATTGAGTAATGTATATGTTGTGATCTATATTCTATTGTAGATGAAGCATTAGTCAGTGATGTTCTATCTCTGTAGGTACTGCCCAAAATATATGTTATTTG